GGGCTTCGCGCCGCGGGGGGCCGGCGGGAAGCGCAAGGGGGTTGGGGCTACTCTCCAGTCCTGGTGCAAGAGGCGGGCCGGGCTCTTGATCTTGAGCCCGGATCCCCACTGCCTAGGTGACTGCGGGAAAGACTGGTCTGCTGCTTGTACTCTTGATTTTAAGTTTGACAAGGGAGTAAGGAGACAACGCAAACTTCTTGCCGTTTTCTTAAAAGAAAAAAGGTGGTTTTCTTTCCCCTTTTCAAAATTGAGAACCAAAGAGAAAAGAGCCTACCGGGCTGACGACTGTGCAGCTGTAATTGCCATTTCTCCTCCCCTGTACAGTTCGTGAGAAGGCAACAAGTTCTCCTCCTCTACAGAAGGATTTTGCAGGCAATTCGGCAAGTTCCAAATGATTCTGATCGCAAATACCTGAAGCACTGGGCAAGGGAAGAATTCAAAAGAAACAAAAGTGCCACCGAAGAGGTGAGACCAAGATCATGGTGACGGTAGGCCCTGACCCTTTTGTACTGATTAGTGAGTTTTTTAAAAAAATTTGATAAATATCTTGGGATATGTCACTGAGATGGTATATCTTGATCATTGCTTTTGATGTTACTGATTTTTCACTTAACTGATAATTTTAACAATGTTTGCTATATCTACACTCTACAGTAGCACCACCCAACTTGTCTGTTAAACCACACACACACGAAAAGATAATAAATATTACAGCATGATGGTTTGGGAAGTATGTTTGGGGTGTATGAAAGCATGCCAGACATTGTGTACCCCTAATTGTTAACTTTTGGCTTTCCTAAAGGGCATCAGTGCCAGTTCTCAGTATTAGTTCCTAATTTTAACAAATAAAATGGTAGAGCCGTACCTTGTTTAACCAGTTAAAACAGTGACCAGATTTCACTTTCTTCTACAGGATACAATCCGGATGATGATTACTCAAGGCAATATGCAGCTCAAAGAGTTAGAGAAAACACTTGCTTTAGCCAGATCTTAACTACAGCATTATTCTGAAAGGTTTTCAAAGTCTCCATGTGTTTAGTTGAGCTTAGGCTCAACAGTGGGTAGCCCAAAGCCAAGTGAAACTGTCTGTACATAGAGCCCTTGAGCAAAATATCGGAACATGGAGCATGGCATATCAGAGAGAGCCAAGAAAAGGGCATAAGAGCAATTGTCTTAGCACTGAAAACATACCTTTTATTTTGAAAATGTTCTTGGATATGTCAGCAGTTTTTGGAAGAAGCAAAAACCAGTACGATAGCACATAAAAAGATGTTCAACACCATTAATCATTAGGAAAATGCAAATCAAAACCACCAAGAGATACTATTTACATCCACTAGAATGGCTATAATTAAAAAGGGAGATAATTGCAAATGTTGGCGAGGATGTGGAGAAACTGGAACCCTTAAACACTGCTGGTGGGACTATAAAATTGTGCAGCCACTTTGGAAAAAAAGACTGTCAGTTGCCCAAAAGGTTAAACAGCATTATTCATAATAGCCAAAAAGTAGACAATCCAAATGCCCACCAGCTGATTAATGGATAAGTAAAACGTGGTATACCCATACAATAAAATATTATTTAGCAAACAAAAAGGGATGGAGTACTGATACATGCTACACCTGGATGAACCTTGAAAACATTAAGTGGCCAGTCACAAAAGATCATGTATGATTCTATTTATATGAACGCACAACTCTGAATATACTAAAATCTACTGAACTGTACATTTTACAGGTATGTGAATTATATCTGAATAAAGCCATTTTCCCCCAATTTTTTCGAAATATAATTGATATATATTATTGTGTAAGTCAATTAAGCTGTTTTAAAACAGTGTGAGGTATAGGGCTGGAGGTGTACTGACCTCAGGAGACACCATGGAGCTTCCTTGGAAAGTCCTTCTGCATTAACCCTCAGGGTTGTTGAGGTATGTTCTTCAGATGTGTTGCATCTGATACTCAAGAGGACTTTCCAAAAAGATCACCACTGGGAATCTAGAACTTTGTAGGAAAAAGAAGAAAGAGAAGTTTAACAAATGCACTGAAGCACCTACCAAGAAGAAGAGGCAACTCCTGGTCAAAACTAATGTGGTTACCTTAATATCCACATGGAAAGTAAAATAAATCATTAATTAAGGAAGCTCCTCAGTGCATTAGGTTCTCCTCCAGTGACAGGAAAAAACAGAGTTTGAAGAATACATTGGAGACAGAAGTTGACTTCAGGACACTTTTGAAGGAGACCAAATGTGTTTAACAGTTAATTTAGTGAAAGTGAAAGCTCGTGGAAGAGGCTGGAATTGGCAGTTCACCTACGGAACAAATCTAAAAAGTTAATCCAAGAATCACAGTTAATCCAAGAATCTACATCTGAAAGATGTAGAAAAACTTTTGCAGGATAAACAGTGTCTAGTGTTGGACCGTGTGCCATTGGAGAGGTGTAAACCAGTGGTGTGTCACTAACCTGCGTTCCGAGCCACCCTTGCCCTTCCACAGCTCCAGAACCCACAAGACAAAAATAATTCTGAATACCCTGCCACCGGGGGATGGGCTAATCTAAAACGTTTGCATAAGCCAGTTTTCAGGTTTTTATATAGATGTACGTTAATCAAGCCATCTGATGAACAGAGGGAAAAGCATGTGTGAACAGTTTCTGAACAGAGAACCTTAGAAAGACTTACTCTTTTGTGTAGCATGATTGGCAAATACTCAAGTACAGGCTATCTCTAGTAAATCTAAAATCTTGAAGCTAAAAACCATCCTTTTATGAAGTGTGACAAGCAGTGACTTTGATGTTCTTCCTAGAAGCACTGTATGTGGAAGATGTAAGAGCATTTGTGGTTTGTATTTGCAAGAATCGAATACTACAGACTCCCCAAGAAAACCTAATGTGGGGTTTTGTTTTGATTTTGTTTTAAGTGAATAAAACATGAAAAATTGAATTTTCATATTCCAGAGACTAAGACTATTCTCGTGGACAAGCTTTTCCCTTCCTCTCTAAAGAACAGTTTAATGTTATTTGTTCACTTACATCTTTGCGTATCTCCTGAATTACAGGCCAGGTCCGTTGTTTAGCCCAAGAGAAGATTTATTTAGCAATTTCTTCTCACATGTGGAACCATGGTCATTAAGATGTTGGCCAGAATAGAACGCTGGTGAAACACATTTTATTCATCATCTTCATCAGTATTTTGGATTAGGCAAGTTTACTGCCTGGGTGTTCCGTTCCCTGTAAACTGTACTGTTGTTTGAATGCTGAAGTTTTGTTCCTAAAGTTTAAGATGTCTGAATGTTCAACTAATGTATATTAACGACAATAAATCCATCTTTAAACCCCTTTATTATTATACTATCTGTTATATTATCTAAATTATTAGAATTGTTTTAAATACAAAAGCTTTCTAGCATGAGAAGTGGCTGAGGCTATTATTTAACATATCGACTGCCCCTGTGTCATTTTTTTTCCCCTTTAAAGTGTGCCACTGAAGTTTTAAATGAAAAGACGAGCTTACAAACCTGAAAATAAACTTGAGAGAACATCAAATAAATTCCCTGTCCAGGTTTTGTAATGATGACATACATCTACATTTATTAGGAAGGCCTAGATCCATAGATTGTCAGTATTCAGAAGAACAAACCAAAAACAACTGAGCTTGATGGGCAGAACACAGGGACTAAATGCATACTTTTGTTTTTCTGGGTGTTCCCATGTCAAGAAGTCATATTTTCTCTTTGGCTCAATGAGCAAAGGTTCATTCAAAAATTACAGACAACAGTTACTTGGTTCCTCTGTTTATAGAAATAGAATCGAGGTTTCTATGCATATATGGAATTCTGAGGTGATGAATATAATGCCACAAGGGACAAGAAGCTTGGAAGATAATTAAATCCAAAGTTTCAACCTACTGTTACTTTTGCAACTTTGTATACTCCATACAGTAACATCCACAGGGCTCCCTGAAGCTGGGGAATCCAAGTCAATTTATTGCTTATTTACCTTGACATAGTTGCTACAAAGCGGTGGAAAGCTTTTGAGGTTCTTCAATGACAACTCGGTTCAAAATGAAATACTTTCAAGAAACAGCCTTATTTCTTTATAAAATGTAGACCAATAAGCTCACATTCAGAA